TGATGGATTGCACTACACCTTTAGTTTAATTATAGTTAGGTAGACAATTCATGCTTGAATTTGATAGTCCATGCTTATTATTGCAAATTTTATGATTCTCTTGATTGATGTGTGCTTGTAGCCACATTTTAATTACAACATTGCTTTTCCCCAATCAGTTGAAGGCAAATGGTTTAGTGAATGAGCTTAGTGGTGATTCTTATGCCCTAAGACTCCTCTCCTATCTCTTAAACTCTACTCATTTAGTATTGATTTACATTGTATGTTTTAAATTGAATTTTAGATTAATCACCAAACCAAACCTCTTTTCAATCTCAAGATCACTAAGTCAAATTAGATTCTAGCACGTGTTCAATCCCTGAGGATAATTCCTTCTCACTATACTCAATGTATATGTGTTAAGTGGCTTTTAAAATTGTAAAATTTGATGCCCATTTTTTTTTCCCTAATTGTTACTCACACACATATGTCTCTATTAAGACTTGAACCCTTGACCTCCCTTTGAAAGGGTAAGAGGCTGATACCGCATTTGACATATTCTAAATATTAAAATGTACACTATTTTTGTGCACACACCAAAGAAGCATCACATATGAATAGAAATGGAATTTGGCACAGAGTATAAGTAACCGTACTTGGTATAGGCGTCTTGGGGTGCTAATACCTTCCCCAAGCATAAAAAAAACCCTCGAATCTAACCTTTGGTAGAGTAGACCATAAGTCATCTAGGGCCCCCAAATTCAATCCAAATTTTTCTCAACCATTGGTGACCTGACACACCAGAACTCGATGTTAGGTGGCGACTCCTTCAAAATCTATGAATTTGGCCCTATCAAGAATCAGTTCCAAATCACACCCTTGCCGCACATAAATACTGGCACACAACGATCTGACCCCCGAACCCCGAGCGATAAAAGCCACAAGTGGGGTCCTTCCTACCCCTGGGAAAGGGGGTGGAAAAACCACGGCGTGACACACATGAATAGAGAGATATATAAAACAGGAATATATAACTAATTAAAGTTTAATGGCCACATTTTAACATTAAGAAGGAAAACATACATGCAGAATCTATATCATCAAACATCATATTGGCTCCCACCAAGGTGACACTATAGCTAAAGTGTCTAAACTTTGCTCGCCATCTCAAGCCCCATAGTCGATTGGTCATGTGAGTAAAACAATCAAAACCTATTGACATACCTGATGTGAATTAGGTATGTATATATGCCATGTCATATGTTATGTCCATTCCATAATAATCATTAATGAAACAATTGTCAAAATGAATATGTGCATTAAATAGCATAAATATTCCAAAGTCATCATAAAAAAGTGATCAACTAAATCCTAAATACATTAAGCATACCCAATGTAGACCCAAAACCCTAACATGAGTCATATAAGCATCTCTAGCAATAGGCTTAGTCAAAGGGTTTACAATCATGCTATTTATAAAAATGTGTGTCATGATCACTTAGTCATATGCAACAATATCTCTGATGATGTTATACCTTACATCAATGTGTTTTGTTCGACCATGGTCTTAGGATCCGTAGCATAAACTAGTGTAGCCATGCTGTCATAATGGATTGTCATGCGATCGTTAGCATGTATGACAACTCGAAGATGTTAAAGGAACCTCCTCAACCAAATGGTTTCCTACACGGCTGCTGAGCAAACGACAAATTCTGCCTCCATCATACATATGGAAATTCATAATTGCTTCTTACAGCTATAAGAAATGGTTCCCCCATTGAGCAAGAAAGCATGTCTAGACTTGTACTCATCTAAATTGCCACCCTTATTGGCTTCACAATAGCTAACTAAGCGCAAATTTGAACACCGATAAAAAATATATAATTTTTAATTCATTTGAGATAACACAGTATCTTTTTAACAGCCTTTTAATAAACAAGTTAAGGATTAGATTGATATTGATTGACCAAGCCAATTGCATAACATATGTTAAGTTAAGTGCATATCATAACATACATCAGGTTCTAAATAGCACTCAATTAGGGAACACGGGTCATCCGATCTTTCTTTTTAGAAGTCTTAAGACCTATCTCAAGTCTTAGACTTTACCCTTTTAGTGATAGGAATGTCTATGGGCATGCAACTTTGCATCTGGAATCATTCTAGAATCTTCTTAATGTAAATCTCTTAAGACAAACTGAGACGTTTCTTAGAAAGATTCCTAAAGATCTTAACTTCGAATGCATAACTTGCCTCACCTATGTCCTTCATCTTAAAAGTCTAGGATAATCAACAATCAACTCTTTATCATTGCTAGCCAACAAAATGTCAACTACACACAATAATAATATAAGAAAATTACCATTGGATCATTTCACATGCACACAATGGTCTTCATCGATCATCATATGCTTATTAAAGATAATGGCTTAATGAAATCTAAAATACCACTATTTGGATGATTGCTTTAGGCCATAGATGGATCGTTAGAGTTTATAGACTTTAAAATCCTAACCCTTTACCACATGGCCTTCTAGTTAATCCATATAGAATATTCATCTAGTTCTCCATTGAGAAATAATGTCTTTACATCCATTTGGTATAGTTATAAGTACAAACGTGTGAAAATAGCAAAAATTATGCGAATTGAAGCAAATTTCACCACAAGAGGGTGTAACCCTTCACCACTAGGCATGCCTTATACCTCTTAATGGAACCATCTGTCTTGATTTTGAATTTTAGAACCCATTTGTTCCTAATAGTCTTGCGTCCTCGTGGAAGATCAACCAAGTTTCAAACATTATTAATCCTCATAGACTCCATCTCATCATGCATTATAGCAGTCCACTTATTATTAGCAGTAGATTAGATTGCCTCTTGTACAGTCTTAAGCTCTTCATTATCTTGCAGAACAACCAAGAAAGCTCCCCCCCCCCCCCCCTCCTCCCCCAACTTAAAAGTAGTGAAGATAGATGGTTCCACATTTACTTCTATGTAACTAAAGATCATCATAATTCTTATCCATAGGAATAAGTCCATTAGTGGGCTAGTCATTCCCACTGTTTTTATGAGCCTGATGGATTTCTCCTTCATTCTCATCTAAGTGACTTGGTGTGCCTTTTAGTTTATCCTCCATCTCATAAAGCTCCAAATCTTTATTTACCTCTCCTATGGTAAGGAAATACTCCTCTAGGAAAGCCATATCACGTGACTCAATTTTAGTTATGCTTCCGTTAAGTTGCTCACCAATAAACACATAGCCTTTAGAATGCTCAAAATATAGGATGAAGATACATTTCTTCCCTCTAGCGCCTAACTTCCTATTATTATAAAAGGATTATGTATATAAACTATTGATCCTTATGGCCGTAAATTACCTAAAAACGAACTTCTTTTCGGTCCACGATTCATATGAGGTGGAAGGTATTGACTTAGAGGGCACGCGATTAAGGATGCAGGAAGCAAATCATATATGCATCTTCTTAATAAAAAAAATGAGAAGGTTATCTTGCACCTTCATCGACCTAACCATGTCTAACTGTGTCTAACTGTAAATGCGTCACCAAGCATGACTGCGTGCATGGTAGCACCTTGCAACCACCTTTCGCAGACACATGTGTGTGGTACGCAACATGTTGGGTCCACACGCTGCCTTCCCGGTCTCTTTTCCCTATGGAACAACCACCATTGTGATCGTCTCACTCTTTAGAACTTGTTCATGGGACTGTTTGGGAGATCCAAGCCTTATACATAGAGGGGTGAATGACACTCTCCTTCATGTGTGATTTAGAAAATCAAATACTGCAATTTTTTTATTAAATTTAAACTCTAATTAGACCCAAAATTTTTAGGGTTCATTTATGGCAAACAATATATATATAAAACAAAAAATGCAAATAATATATGCACAGAAAGCTTATGAAACAAGGATTCCAACCATATACGTTTCATGTGACAAAACTCAATAATGAGAAAGAAATGAGTGAAACAAAATTTTGTTCCATTATTCATATTTTATTTTTAAAAAGAGATATTCTTTATCTCTTTCCAATTGAGTTGGGAAAATCCCCTTCACTCTCGTCGCAATCCAACTATCTTTCGATATTATTGCTACTACAGATACAAAAATTAATGTAAGAAATTAAAATTAACATATAACAAGGAGGACGAAAGTGTCATCGGATTACTTCAAAGTATCTTTGCTCGAAACGAAAATAAACCGTCGAATGCTTCGCACGCCTTCACAACCCCCTCTAGATCTCGCAGTGGTAAGTGAAACTACACTACGAATATGAACGTAATTCTTGAATTCACAGTCCAAAAATATTTATTGATCTCCAAAAACAATTGACAAAGGAAGGAGTAGTTTTGCATGTGTTGTACTTTGTTCATAAGTTGTATATGCTGTAGAAACTTTAAAATATAACCTATTTATATTGTTTTATTTTTTAATTCCAAAAAAAAAAAATATTAGACAAGAACTTCTCTAGATCAGGCTCACTCATGGGTGCCCACTTGAATTCAAACCCAAAGTCCAACACTTCCTAGTCCAGTGACGAGGGGAATGATGAGATCACATTTTAGTAGTTATACTAATATATAGACTTTGAGAGTCTAATTTACAAATAAATCAATCAAAGTGATGAATTTAAAAAAATAAAAATGAATGGATTTATCTAGGTGATACGAGAATTATTGTTTTATTTTTTATTTTTTAAATTTCATACCTTTGACTCTATGTATTACTTAGTAAATTAAGCTCCAAAAGTTAATGTATTTGCAATTTTCAATAGAAGTTAAGCCAGTACCAGCGGCCCTCCTCATCTAAAATTGACTAGTCGTAACTCGAAAGTACTAAGCAGTACTTGTTACATCATCTAATACGACGGTAAAACCCGTCAATACGGTGGTAGTGGTAGTTTCGTTATTGCGTTGTAACTAAAGGCATTTCTTAAGACAGGCAAGCCTTGCCTTTATAACACCAAGAAAAGAAAGGACACAAATTCAATTCCTCACGACGATTCTCCGCCGTCAAATCTAACGGCGAGACCAACCTTTAAAGTTTTAACTTTAAAGTCTTTTTGGTTAGACGTCAAAGCTAACGGCAATCATCAATCACCCTGGGCAATTATTGTCCTTTGGAGAGCTCCTCGTGCTCGTGCTCTCTCGCCACTCCTCAATCTCGCCGGATCCTCGCCGGGACTCCGCCGGCTACTCGACGGAGAAAGTGTCGATGATATTCGAAGCGTAAAGGATTGTTGCTTTCTCAATATAACATCAAGATCTGACTTCACAGTAGTACTATATAATTATTTGAGAGGTAATGAACCAACTAGTCTAACTTTGTGCGGGCCAACAACAACTTTTCTTAATTTTTCTCTCAATATTTAAGATCTATCTGCTATTGGGTTTCATGGGTTTTATTGTTTTACTTCTTGATTGTCAGTCTGTTCTTGTGGGTTTCAGCTGTATGTATAGTTGGAGCTTGTAGATTGAAGTTCTCCCTTTCTCTCTCTCTATATATGTGTGTGTGTGTATATATATATATCAGTCATATATATTTGTATAATATGTTTGTGTTGCTGTTTGAGCTAAGTTATGCTTGAAAGAACATGTATATGGATATGGGTGATGGATGTTTCGAAGCTTCATGGATCATCAGGTGGATCCATCAGTTGGAGATGAGATTTTGGAGATCTTTTGATGAATATAGTTGTGTTTGGAATTAGGGTTTCAGTGTAGTGAGGTGTAGGGGTGGTGATAGAGATTTATGAGTTTGATGTAGTCCCAACTAGCTGTGGCTTTGGTTTGTTGCTTTACGTTTTGGTTTCTCTATCTGGAACTTTGTTTTCACTTTCTTGGTGGATTTTACCAACAGTTAACTGATAGATTTTCACTCTTTGTGTGTGGAAAGAGTCTTGGAAAGGTGTGATGTTGCTTGGTCGAGAAGGCTCTGGAGCTTCAAGACAACAGAAAGGCAGTGTCCAAGGACAATCTAGTAGGTACAAGTAAATTCAGATGAGACGTGAAATGAAATACTCTCTCTCACACACACAAACACACACACACAATCTATGTGCTCGCTTGAGGTTAGTATGCTATATTACTTGCAGTTACATTTAAATTGGCTTTCACGCTTCCCTTCTTTTTAATGTGTTTTCATTGGGTATTCTTAAACTAGCTGGTTTGCTGCTAGTCTACTCTCTCTCTCTCTCTCTCTCTCTCTAGATATATATAGATATCTATATATATCTATTACCCACCTATATCTACTAGGTGTATATTTCTGTGTTTGACTTGTTAGAACAACTTTTGACCATTTCTTGTACTTGCAGAACTGATCTCAAGGAATTGTGTGAACTGGATGGGGATTGAAGAATTGTGCGTTTAATCAGCTTAGTGCTCATTGATCTCTTCTCAAAAGTGAAGAACGATTGATTATTTGAGCCCTTCCAACTTTGTATATATAGAGTACATTGAAACAGCCAAGGTAAGAGATCGAATAAATTACTAGTAATTTTGATGGAGAGCAACTTTAGGCTTGAGTCGCACGTAGCTCAGCGAAGCCGGCGTGACAAATTGAGGGTTCACCAGAACAACTCAACAATCATCCCAGCCCAGTATTTGGAACAGTTATCTGTGAATCAAGGTGTGAACCCGGATCTTAGTGACGCTAGGTATGCCAGCCATAATAATAATTTATCATATGACCAGACTATGTTTTCTTCAGAAATGCTCAATTTCATGACAAGTAGTAATTCACAAATTCCATTAGTTAGCCATCAAGGTCATTCAGCAGCTCCAGCTCAACCCGATAGGTCAAAGGATTCTTCATTTACCAATTTGTCACAAACAATAATCTCATCATCCAGTTTCAATCCTTCATCTAAAGTGAGTGGTGACCCACAAATTAATTGTAGCACTTGGAAAAGTATTGGTTCCCAGCAAAGAGGTGATTGGATTTCTGCTAATTATTCGAGTGGATCAACGGGCATTGAAAGCAATCAGAACCCATTGTTTGTCGGAGAAGCTTTGTCGACACAGTATATGAATAAGCCTAGTTACCACCATGGTGTACAATCATCTTTAACCAGTCCATCCAGTGAAATTTCCAGTCAAAATAGCCAAAAGCATTATGAGGAGATGCGTTTTCATTCTCCCCCACTCTATGACCAAAAAACCCACCTCCAAGAGTTCATTACCTCGGCTGGCAGTACTGCAACCCTGGGGCTTGAAATGGCTTCTCTAGTACACCAGAATATCGGGGAAATTGGCCGTGGTTCTTGGGGAAATGGTGGGAATGAGCTTCTTCTTCTTCCAACCTATGGCGATCAGTCCAACGTGGTAGGCCTTAGTGATGCGTTTGCACGAACAAATAGGCCGGTGGAGGGCTGCCATGATGATCATTGGAGTGGTGAATTGGGCATTCTAGCAAATAAGGGTGACACAGAGTTGAGGACGTTTCCAAGTGATTCTAATACACAAGGCCTATCTTTGTCACTTTCGCCCGTGCCACAGTTTAAAACACATGGAGGTCTGCAGCTTGGGGAAAGATGTGAATCCGAACACGTGCGTTCTAGGACTGGTGTTTTCAATGATCTTCCTGATTCTGATACGTTAAAACCTGGTTATTTATGTTCAAACTCTGAACAATCTAGTGGTGGTAAAGTTTTTGGGATAAATAGTACCAGTCAAGACATGGTGGGGACTTCTAATTTCACTCATCGACACACCGGTCCTCTGGGGCCTTTCACTGGTTATGCAACTATCCTGAAGAGTTCTAAGTATTTGAAGCCAGCCCAACAGCTGTTGGATGAATTTTGTGGTGTAAATGGTCCGAAACCCATCAAAACATGTGAGGTGTCTGACAAGGCATCGGTAGAAGTTAGGGTTTCAGTTGATGCTGCTAATGCTTCTGAATCTGTGGTTGGAGCGAAGGGTGGTGACTCTGGTGTCTCATCCTCCACATTTTTTAGTTCAAATGAAATTAGTGGTGAAGCTGGAGTTGGGAGCAGCTCTAGTGAATCTTATGGGCCCGAATATCAACAAAAGAAAGCAAAGCTGTTATTTATGCAGGAGGAGGTTTGTTACACTATCTACTACTCATCTAATTGATTTTACAAAACTGAATTCATTTCTTATGTTTTCATAGTTATATGATGATCAAATTACTAAATTTCATTAATGTCTTCGTGATATAATGATTAAATGCATCACAGTATGAATCATATTAGAAGTAGAGTTCCCCTTTCTTGCTAATTTATATTGCTAGAATCTACATTCGTGTAGCCAACGCTATGTTTTACATGGTTATTTGTGCTGTCGTCGTCTTGATCGATCCTCTGACTATTGGTAGGAAATAAGAAGCTAATCATTCTGTAATATACAACTTAGAAACCTTTTCAATGCAAAAGAAATGCTGAGTTCACTTGGAAATTTAATGAAAAAATTAGGATATTACAGAAAAGAGAATCGATTTTCATTTATAAGGAGGACCCCTACCTTTTCTTGCAGAATCGAATTTCTAAGGAAGGATGAGTACCTAAATGTGCTATTGGAGTCTCCTATTCTTCACATGGTAGTTCTTTGGAGATGAAACGGCATGGATATGGATATTTGATGTGTTCAGTGTTGTTGACTGAAGAAGAAAAAATTATTCAATTGGATTGAGGTTTCTTTTTTTTTTTTTTTTCCACATCATATTGAATTAAAATTCTAATTGAGTCTGTACACTATTATATAGCATATAATGTAGTTAAATGTTGAGAAGAGTTTAATACATATCCATATCCAGCTTCAAATTGTACATTCGACTCTTCTTGGGTGCAAACAATTCCTTGGGGGTTTGTGCATCAACTAGGAAAAAAATACATGTATGGAAGTTGATGTAAAACTTGTCATTCATAGCGGATCAAAAGATACAACCAATTTGAGTTTTATCACAAATTTTGGTTATAGGAGCACCCTACAAGTTTTTTGCCAACCCTGATACTCCAAATGCTTTCTGTATCATACCATTTCAAACCAAGTTCTAATTATTACCATTTTCCCTTATCAAGAAAAATTAAATAAGTATTAGCATTTTCTAAAGCATAAATTTCTTGACTTGTTGATTGCTCGGAAAAGGTCCACATGAACAATTCAAAGAAGTTTAATTTTACTTTTTATCTGTAAATAGAAAATTGTAATAAAGTGCAGGTTGGGGTACGTAATAAAGAAGGAATATTAATTGATGAAAGAAATGCCCCATGATTGACTTGAACAACTAAATAGAATTTCCTTAAAGACTGGTTTGTTAGTTTTGGGTGTTCTTCAAGCCATAGGAAGAACCATGTTTAGATTTTTTCATTATGAGCACGGACTCGTTAATTTCAGTGAAGTATCACAGAATTTGAAGAATACACTTGGAATAAGCTGGAACTTGTACCGTTTGCTATAAAAAGGAAGAGAAGTAATTAAGAAGCATGGTTACAAATTGGTTCATGTGCACTAAACTTGTAGTTTTAATTTTAATTATGGAGCAACATGTTTATCTTGAAGCTGTTGTACATATTAGGAAAACCAGAAGACTTGTGTGTTACTTAATGGACCTATTGTGTGAAATGGACATGTTCATGTGTACGTTAGTCTGTAATAGGGTAAAATAAATTGCCCCAAACGGAGAATAGGATTCGTGTAGCCAATCCTAATTCTTTGGAAGTTTGTATGTATATAAATATAGATAATGTATATGTACTACTTGACTTGATTGCTATAATTCGCAGCTTTAATGTTTGGCGTGCCTCACTCCGGGCAGTCAACTCAGGTTAACATTCATAATTCAGAACTTAGGTGTAATGGAAGGATCCAAATTATCCATTGTAGGTCATAATATCTAAGGAGCGGTATAGATTAAAAATGTGTATACTTAGTCATATGGAGCTTACAGTCCATGAAAGTGTAAGAATTTGTAAAATAGAAATTTCTAATGGAAGTGAATAAAAACTGAATTCTCTTTTCTAGAACATATATACAAAGTTACTCTTCTACTTTTAATTTTTCCACAGAAAAGAATGCTCACGTATTTGAAATGTCTGATGTTTATTTCTGTTCATGTTTATCTTATCATCTCTTTGATGTTTCATGTGTAGGCTTGGTTGCTCGAATGTATAGAAAATTTGGTGTCCTATAAGTTGGTCTTGGCACCTAATGTAAACATCTCTGGTTATCGATCTATGTTTTGTTTTTTTTTATTATTATTATTCTTTTTTTTTTACAGTGGGTTGGTCAATCTGGTAGAGGAAAGCACTTCAAGTTTCAAATTGTATTCATAAATCTCTAAATCAATTTGTTGGTTTTATTCATTACCTTGTGTCCAAACAATAATTAGGGGATGAATAACAAGGAGCTTAACACTTTATCTAGAAGCCACCATGACAATTTGATTTTTCAAATTAACAGTATAAACCTAACAACTCCTTTTCTAATCACTTTATCAAAGAAAAAATCCAATAAGTTGTGTCATCTTGCAATAAATGAAGGGCCCATCATAAGGTGAAAAGTTATAGTCTATGTGATTCTAGAGTTGACAACGTTACTTTATAAAATTCTCAACTTTCCAGCCCATCTAACTGTGCATTGCCCTAATTTGCCCTTGTTAAGTGCCTTCAATCATTATAAAAGCTCTACAGTTTCAACCATCAGTTGTCACAATGGTTTGACCAAATTATTTTTGTAATTTAGAATGCCTCAAGTCATGTGTTAAGTATCTTGAACTGTATTTGAAGGATTATATATCAAGTATATACGTATAGATATACTTAAAGAGCACAGCTGTGAAGCCAACTTGTTAGATCAAATCGTATCAACCATGTATATTGGTTGATTTACTTCTACCTATCATTTAAAGAAAACTAAAGAAAGAAAATAATGCCAATTTCGCAATGTACCATTTTTTCATATTTGTTGATTCATTTCATTAAACGGTCAATTTTTCTTATTAATGGGCATTCTCCCAAATGGTATGTTCTCTCATCACTGTCCCCAATGGAGAGTTTGAGTCAATTTTGTGTGTTTGCTTCAACTTTACGGTAAAAAATTAAATAAATTACCCGTCAATTTCCTTCTTGAATTGTTTTGTTTTATATGTAACACTTGCACATGAATATAGTTCATTGAGACTTCTTTTCTGATTCATTTTCTTGTAATGTGCTAATGGAAGATTTGCAAAAGGTACAGACAGTATCACCAGCAGATGCAAATGGTAGTTTCGTCGTTCGAAGCAGTGGCAGGTCTCAGTGCAGCCACCCCTTACATTTCCTTGGCTCTCAAGACGGTCATGAGGAACTTTCGGTGCCTAAAGAATGCCATCTCAGATCAGCTCAAACATATAAGGAAAGCCTTGGGGGAGGATTTATCATCACCTACCACTGGTGCAAGCAGTAGTAAAGGTGATGCTAGCACATCAAGGCAAAAGTTGTACGACTACAGGTTTCAAAAGGACAACCCTGGTGGGGGCAATCTTGGATTCTTTGAACCCCAACATGTCTGGAGGCCCCAAAGAGGCCTACCAGAACGTTCTGTGGCTGTTCTTAGAGCTTGGCTGTTTGATCATTTCCTTCACCCGTGTGTCTCTCTTTCTCTCTCCGTCACTCTCACAGTCATATACATAGATAATTTGATCCAAATTTGTTGATTGATGTAGGTATCCCACAGATACAGACAAGCACTTGTTGGCGACTCAAACAGGCTTAACTCGAAATCAGGTATTTTCTACTGTTTCAAGAACCATGCTGATATTATATTTTAGATTCTTTAGATTAATTAGATGGTACACAGTACCCAAGTTCCTGTTTCTATTTTTATTTTTTCAAAAAATAATAATAATAATGGGAAGTGGTAGTGCATTTATCCACTCTCTAGGCTCATTTACTGATTCATTGCAGTGGATACAAACCTTTATAACTTTGAAATTGATCTGTTTCGGATACTATTACTTACACAATGCCCTAGGTAGACTTATCATGCAATGTATCGTTGCATGCCATTTTGATATTTTAGCACTCTGCCGATGACATTTGACTGATTAATAAAGGTATCGAATTGGTTCATTAATGCCCGAGTGCGTGTGTGGAAACCCATGGTTGAAGAAATACACATGCTTGAAACCAAAGGATCGGCAGAAGCAAACTCAAATCCGGTTAAAAATGATGGAAAAGAAACCACCGGAGTTTCCAGCTTGCCAAATGAGGATCAATGTCCCACAAACAGACTCGGGATAAATGCAATGTCAAATAACCAAGTGGACTGCTCTGACATAGGAGATGTACAGAGTATTGCTAAGCAGTGGAATCGCGAGAAGAGGTCAAGAATGGACTGCCATATTCCAGGTAGCATAGATGGTTCGTTGATGGGTATCGGGACATACCAGCAAAGCAGCAGAGGACTTGGAGCTGTGTCACTTACATTGGGTCTGAGGCAAAGTGCAGAGAGTGCACAACAGCAACAGCAATTGCAACAACAAGAGCATCAGCTGAGGCATCATTTTGGAGGTCAGATGATTCATGACTTTGTGGGTTAAATTGATGCTAGTTAGCAGCCTTTGGTCCAATCTGAAAGGAATAAAAGGTTTAAAGTGTTTGCAACAAGCATTGAAGAGCTAAACTTCAATGCTCTTTTGGTGGTGAAGATTAGATTGTTAAGAAGAGCATAGAGCTATGAAGATGTGACGATCATGTTTTAATAGGAGACAAATAGAGATAATGCATGTAAAGTGATTTAAAGGTGAAGTAAGATCCATACTTCACCAAAAGATGTTATGAGCTTTCAATGGGTATTGGAGAAGAGGGGTAATGCTACATCTTCGAGCTCATTTCATTCCTCTTGAAACTCATTTTCATTTGTATGGGTGTGTTCAATGATACTTTGTAGCTACTCTATGATGCATTTAAGGGTAAATTACAATGAACTCCCCGAGATTTGGTCTAATTGCAAATAAATTTTGTCATTTTATTGTAAAGACACCCCTATGTCAGATTTTGTTATGAATTAACTCATATACCTTCATTATTATATTATAAAAATGGGCAAAATATCTAAGAAAAAAAAAATGACCATTTTACGCACTAATATTTACTAAATAAAATTTTTTATTTTTTTCCCCTTTTTCCTACTATTCCTTTTTCCTCTCAATCGCCACCAAGGTTATCAATTCATTTTAGTTTCCAATCGACACAGTACCACACTCCAGCACATAGAATCATATTATATATTTATGTGTGTGTGTGTGTGTGTGTGTGTCTGTGTATATATATATATGTATGGAGCTTCTCAGTTGGGTCTTTAATGGAACTCTAGTACTTTTGCTCGGAGCTCGCCGAGTTCAATAGACGCTACTACTCAGAGCTTGCCAGTTTTTATGGACGCTCTTGCTCTGTGTCTGTCTTCAATCATGCATAAAGGTTTCTTTAATTAGAAAAAGCTTACATGGTTTGGAAGAAAATACTGCATCCGTCCCAAAATAAATGTCCACCTTTCTATTTTTGCTGTTCCAAAATAAATGTCCCATTTAAAACGTCAAAATACTATTTTTATAACATTACAAATTTAAGCTTCTTGCACTTATTTTTAAAGAGTAAACCATTACATCCCTGTAGATCCACTATGGATAAATTTAATAATTCATTCACTACTAATACAATAAAAATATATATTAAAACTTATCCTCTAAAAAACGTTAGGTTCTCCAAAAGGGATAATTATTTTGGATTGGAGGGAGTAAATATTTTGAAAAACCCAAATTTTGCATGTGACGACCCTGGTTTTTAGGCCAGTACATCCTGTGATGAACCGAATGTAGACCCGTCGACGAAAACAGAATACGGAAGCAAAAGATAAAACAATGGTCTCTAGAGATTCAACACGTCTCTAGGACACCAATATGATTCTCAATGAGATCACGTAACCCAAAGAAAACAAATGCGGAAGCGACATTTCAAAAACTGACAAGAATGAACCTAGGGGCAAAATGGTCATTTCATACAGAAATGGATTCTACCAAGCATACCATTGGAAAGATAACAAAAAAATAATAAATATAAACTCAAGACTGACTTGATTTGAAGTCCGGATGAAAAAGATATCAAGTCTTGAAGTTAAGGAAAGAAAACCCCTTTCCGGTTCAAACCAAATCCTAACACTACTTCACTAAAACTTGAATAACTTGAGTTACAAATGGAATTTGAAGCTCTAATTGGTACCATTGGAAATCTTATTTCGATGCAGTCAGTTTAGACTCAAGAACGGACCAATTTGGAGTTGAAACAAGTGAGATATGGCCCTCTGAAAGAAGATGTTCGGTGCAGGACCTACCATGGCGCGCCCGCCCAAACCATACACAAATCCTGCAGGCACCCGCCAAATCCCGCAGTGGGCTGGAGATTTTTCGTGGGGCCCCACCAAAACCCCCGAAAAATCTCCAGCGCACTGCGGGATTTGGAGGGCGCCCGCAGGATTTGTGCATGGTTTGGGCGGGCGCCCGCCATGACAGGTCCTGCACCAAACATCTTCTTTCAGAGGGCCATATCTACTTGTTTCAACTCCGAATTGGTCCGTTCTTGAGTCTAAACTGACCGCGTTGAAATAATATTTCCAATGGTATCAATTAGATCTTCAGATTCCATTTTTAACTTAAGTTATTCAAGTTTTACTGAGGTAGTGTTAAGATTTGGTTTGAACCGGAAAGGGGTTTTCTTTCCTTAACTTCAAGACTTGATATCTTCTTCGTCCGGACTCCAAATCAAGTCATTCTTGAGTCCATTTTTATTAATTTTTCGTTATCTTTCTAATGGTATGCTTGGTAGCATCCATTTCTCTATGAAATGACCATTTTTCCCCTAGGTTCATTCTTGTCCGTTTTTTAGACTGTCGTTCCGCATTTGCATTCTTTGGGTTTTGTGATCTCATTGAGGATCACATTGGTGTTTTGCTTCTGTATTCTGGATCTATTATTGGATTTATGTTCGGTTTATCATAGGACGCACTGGCCTAAAAACCAGGGCCGTCACAATGTATTGGATGTTTTGATCTCATTTGACTTGTTAGAAGTCAAATTCCTCCCTTTTAGGGTAAAATGACCATTTTACCCTTGTTCCTTCTTTCGGTAGGGTTTTGATACCCTTGTCTTCATTTTGCTTCCGTTGAGTCTCGAAACTTTTTGAAAGTCCATTCTTGTGTCCTAGGGATAACGTACATCTCTATGGACTTGTTTTTGTTTTGCTTCCGCATTCTGGATCCGCTTTGGGTCCTCACATGATACACTGGGTTGAAAAATCCAGGGTCGCCACATTGCATGACCCATGAATCCTAGTTTTTTTCTCTCTCTCCCCTCATTTTCTCTCCCTTCCCTTCTCTTTCCCTTTCCTCCACACGGCTACCAGCGACATGAGATAACATCTGTAGACACCCCATTTTTTCCCTCTCCTTTCAATACACCAACCTTCCTGTAAAGGTACCCAAGTCAAGGATAAAATGGTCATAGTCTAAGGTAAAATGTCAAACAAGATTACCTAGGCATGAACACATCATTAAGATGTACTTCCATGAACCATAGGACAAGAGAAGAGAGTCAAAGTGGGCTAGACAGTAAACAGCTGAAGAATGAAGAAGAATCAGGAACTGGTCGATGTGTAAGATCCACACGTCGACTGTTTTAGCTGACTCGGTCGACGTGTAGGCATCACGTCAACCGAAACCTGGTCTCGCCCCCAAAAAGTGTACTGCCTAAAAACAAGAGATACCAGTCGACGTGTGGTATCCAGACGTTGATTGAATCTCTGCTCTCTGCTGCACTAAGGTGCTAAAACTGCAGAAATGGTTTTGGTTGATCTTAAATCATTTCTAATCATACAAATAAGCTTAAATGTGAGATAAAAACCATAATTTTAAGGTACATGGCGTGATGAGTGAATCCATATATGAGGATGTGTGGATAAAACACAAGTAAGCAATTATAATTAAAAGGAAATATACATTGAACTAAAATGGCTCAAGGCCTCGTTACATAGCTTGAGTATGATATCAAGAGAAGCATGAAGAAGTGAAAATCACTTGAGAACTCCGAAATATGAGAATGAGTTCCCATGCTATTTTCCTTCTCAAAAAGATTACATTACATCACCAATGTACTAGGACTAATTATTACATAAAGCATGCTAAACACGTTACATGCAAACATAGTCCAATGAGATATCAAAAACAACATAAGGGATCCATGCTAAGGCAAATTGGCATCCAAGAAAAGCACATCTTTACTTGAAAAATATTAAAACTAGGGTGAGTAATTTGAATTACTCGTAGGAAAATGCATTATAAGGATAACCTAAGGTTTCATTAGCCTCGCAAGAATATCATAGAATAAACAAATGTGGAACATACCTCCTAGTCGTCTAAGTCAAGGGTAGGTCTAGGGAAGTATCCTAAGACTAGCAACTGAAATGGAAATGACAATCTCAGCAAAATGTATCCAAATACATGATAGTACGATGAAACCGAAATACACCAAGCTACTTCTACTTATAAATTGTCAACTTGGAAACCAAAAACAAAATCACCTAATAGGGATAACTTGGACTCACACATACACTATCACACGTATTATGTTCATCGAAAAAATAGATATTGTCGGGCTACTAACTCGCTGGGAACTACCCTAGTGGCCACTATAATTTGGGATAAACTCGTATCTCCCTCGTTAGAGCCATACTCTAGCATTCTAAATGAAACAAAAAGGTCACAAGTATCTCCTAAAAATCATCAATCGATCCACAATTTAAGCCACATAGTCAATGCACACATTTTCCATCTTTTATCCACACAAATAATGGAGCTCAAGCAATCCATATCTTATAGTCTTCAACTATAATTCATGGCATGAATGTAGACAAAATGATATCTATACTATCATTGAAGTATCCAACAACAAATCATCATCCTACTAGCATGTTATAAGTTCCAAGTACTCTAGCAACTCAAGGCATATAATCATTAACATATCATTGAAATATCCAACAACAAAGCTAACATCACACTAGTATTATAAGTTCTAAGCTCTTTAGAAACTCAAGGCATATAATCAACAACCTAGAATCCTTGAATCCAAGACACAATTCCTACACAACTCATGTGAAAATTTGAATGCACAATGCATCGCAAAATACAAGCATGAGAATAATATAAAGACAACAATATATAATTGTTAAGGAAGCTAAATTAAAACACACTTCTTCACTACTTGAACAATGAAATCACAAGTTACATAATCATGCTTTGAAATATCATATGAGCTTAGGTTAAGAGAGAAAATAAATGTAACGACTGAAACCCGGGGGTCTGAATCACTATCTGGGTCCTTACCTAAACCCGAGGTTAACTAAGGGTAAAATGGTTATTATGTACCTTACTATAAGTTAGAAGTCAAAATGAAGTCATACTAGTCATTTATAACTACATTGGATCATTGAAGATTAATGGTAAATCCGACTTCGGGTTCATACCAAAACCCTAAGCTCACAAGGGGTAAAATAGTCATTTCAAGTTATAATTATAAAATAAGGTTGATGCCAATGGAAAGGTGGCTAAAATGCATCAATCTAGGCTCAAGAATGGCTCAATTTGGTAGAAATAACTAAGTTATAATCGTTTGAAGTCTGACTAGTCCGAATGATTTTAACAGCTTCAAAATTATTCCAAGTCTGGGAAAATCCGATCGATCGGCCCAAGAGCATAATTTCAGAGGGTTGCAAAAAAATCTAAGTATGTGAAAATCCAATTGATCAGATTGAAGTTCGATTGATCGGACTGAGAGCAAAAAATGCTGCAATGACCCCTTTTTGGATTACTCTCACCTCTAGATTATAAATTGGTTAATTAGACCAAGCCAAACCTGTCCCAAAACATTTATTTAATTGATTACAACCTCAATTAACATCCATGCATCTATATAATCATTAAACAAGCTTA